AAGAATATCAATTTTCTCCGGCCGAGGAACACCTACCAACGACTGAATCACATCATCTTTATTGGTAAATCAAGTTTCTCAGATACACCGATTAGCATATTTGACTTCCACGAACGGATATTGTCAAGAAAGGCAGTTATCTTATCCTCGTCACTTTTAAAATTCATTAAACATTGACCAACCTCAAGATACACGTCATTCGATAATTTGTCCACACGACTATCGCTTCCAATTGATATATGTCGACTACGCAACACATCAACAGGAATAACCCCCCTCATCCAACGCTTAAGAATATATTGTTGCGGAATTTCATCGAAATCAAGGTTGAACAAGACAGTGAACACATGCCGACATAAGGTTCCGTAGTACTCAAAATGGCGGCAATCACAATATATTGAGTCATCTGAATGCGATTGAGCAACCTAACATACAACATAATTAGTGATACAMGATTATAACAATACACTAAAATAATACGTGTGATATTTATCAATAAACTAGCATATCACATGTGATAAAGTTAAGCAAATAATTAATAATACTGACAACATACCTTAAATTCAAGCTTAGTCGAACAATGTTTTTTCCTCTCCCTTATTGTATAAACTGTGAAACCCATTTCAGAATTAACTTGCCATTGGGAACAACATCTATAACCCTTGAAGATCTCCTTTTGGACCTTGAAGAAAATAGCACGAGTATACACTTTTGCCGCATGATACTCGATCAACGTATTTGTCTTGAAGGTCGGTGTGGTGGTATTCGTCTTATGATCTTCATTGCGCTGCCTATTCCTCTGTTTGTCTATCGCAGTATCATGAGACAAAATGAACTMTAACAAAATATTAGAATGCTTACCAAATTTTCGAAAAAACGAGTTGGTGCTCTCAGATCTAGAGGTGGTTTTCATTAAACAACATAAAAGTATCTCCCTAAAGTAGGATGGAATCCAACTGGTTCGCATTTCAAATACATCCTCAAGCCATGGGTGATTATTAAGGTCAAACTCATTCAACAAAGACGCCCATTTAACCTCAAATTCATCAGGTTCAAGGTGTACACTCCATACTAATTTCAATAACCATTTTCTGAAGTTTGTATTCAAAATGATATAAGAACCTACCTGCATCATAACATCGCTATAACTAAGTCAAATTTGCAAATCACATATGATACACTACTGCAATCACATTTTTATCACATGATTATCACCGATAACACTAAATATAATACTACTTTCAATCACATGTGATAAAACATTCAATACCTWKGCAGGTAGCTTCTTCATGATATGCCACATACATAGGCGATGTCTAGCATCAGGAAACACAACAGGGATTGCTTCCTTAATGGAAGCATCTTGATCAGTCAAAACAAGGGTCGGTTGACGACCATGAACCTTCAARAATGACTCCAACAACCAGGTATATGCTTGGATAGTTTCTTTAGTGATCAATCCTGACCCAAAAACAACTGATCTCCTATGGTTATCAATACCGGTGAATGGTACAAAAACCATGTTATACCTACGATGACAAAAAATAAAATATAAGCCTAAACCATAAAAATTAATAAATCCAAATTACGATAACATTACATTAACGTACTTGTTGAAACGATATGTCGCATCAAATGACATAAAATCACCGAACTCTGCGTAGTTCAACCTTGTCAACTCGTTGGCCCAAAACATTGATACCAAACGACCATTGTCAATTTTATACTCAAATGCAAAGTTTGTCCCATATTGTCTTCTATCGTTCAACATGTTTACCACCATTTGTACATCTCCATCACCAATGTAGTTATTGAGATCCCTCTTGAAATTCTTATAATCAACAACAGTAGAACCAACTTCATCATATCCACCTTTCAATCAAACCTGCAACTTGTGGGCTCTTACCGGCCCAATATTTGACCTCGCCGACCGGTGAACCATAACTTTGTCATCATAGTTGAGTTACCTACTCTTACGTGATAAAATTCTATCAGCATCATCAATCAAATCATGGTTATGGTTGGGACAAAAATAGTATAATCTATATGATGATTGAGACCTCTCTATGTATTTAAACCTAACAGATGCTTTACAATCTGTAACTTTAAAGTTTGTATTTCGTACTTGTCTACGATGTCCATCCACTTCAACAGAGTCAACCGACCTCTTTTTTGGTTTTCCATGCTTATGACAAACAACATATTTTAGTTTGAGTATACCACCCTTCCTTATCTTCTGGGTTGATAGTCGAATATCAAACCCGGCAATGTCGGCATACCTTCGATACATTTCAATTCCATCCTCCAAAGATGCAAAGATTGATCCAACAACCGGTTGAAATTCACTTGGAACAGATGGGATACAAACTCCATCACAGCAAGGACTTCCAATCACTCCTTGAGTTGGTAACACAAAATGATCTATGAAACAATTACCAATAGTTATAAATAAAGAAAACAATATACATATAAACCAAATTAACAAAGTCTCATATGACATAATAAAACTAAACACAATTACTATTAAATTAAATTCAAAACAAAATCAACCTCATCAAGACACATTACAGTAACATACAATTGTAGCTATGAGATGTTTATCACWTRTGATAAACATMMAAAATTCTCACTTACATAGATATCACAATTATAATAATTGATTTGGTGTTACAAGTTGAAGGTGATATTAACCATCTTGATTACAAAAATAGCTATCATTTTTCAGTTGATGATTTACATTATTTACTAGCATCAATCATATGTCTAATATCACATCTATCACACCATTATCACAGCTACTGTGATCACTGGTAAGTCGATGCCATCAACATTTTGGGTGTCAAAAGCAGTTGTTGCTGCAACATTTACATAAATTTAATGGAAAACGAACCAAACAGTATCCACATACATATAAACATCTGGTTTATCACATGTGATAAAACATCAAACTTTTCAATTTAAAAAGTAGCAAACTAAAAAAAAATAGGATGTTTATCACATGTGATAAACATCAAAATTTTCAATTACAAAAGTAGAATAACATTAAACTCAAATCAACATATACCAAAAACAATAAATGGACAAAAAATGTKTAYATTCACAAGTCYTTTTACTTTTTRTCACATGTGATAAAAACCCCAAAAAACCATTCATGAAAATTGATGACATATTTTAATGTTATCACATCGTACCTTCTTCGTCGTTATCAGAACTACTTTCATAAAAGTTGTCTTCAAGAAAACAATCTTGAAAAAAGCCCAAGAATCGTCGTTTGAATAACTTGATCCTGGACAAACTTCCTTATCAACAACATTCAAGTCGTCCATTTTAGATAGACAAAAATATGGACACTACCGAAATGAAGAAAAGATGTTAACCCATCGACTATGTGTAGATTATGATGAACGAGAAAGAAAATAGGCTTGAATGAAGGAGACGCATGAATGAAGGAGAAGAAGACGTGATGAATGAAGGAGAAGAAGACGTGGAAACGTGAAGATAAACATGGTTAATAAAAATAAAATAAAAATTATAAAAATTATTTAATTACATTACTGCCCTTATTAAATTATTTATATATAATAAAAGTTAATTTATTAATTAAAAAAGTTTGTGGTTATTGAGTTGTTCTCGCGTTTTCGTAAATCACAGGGGTTCTCGTTTGAACCTCCACCTATATATATATATATATATATATATATATATATATATATATATATCAATCATTTGTTAAACAAAAATTTAGTGTTAGATTTGCAAACCAGCAATGACCAATCAAATACCAAATTAGAATTAGGTTTCATAACCCACGTTCCATATTGAGAGAGGGTAGTTTTTTACTTCTATTTTTTTTTAAATTAACAGTTACATTATCATTTTCTTAGTTTTGGGCGGAATAATTATGGATATTATTTTTTTAATTAACCAGTTGCATTATCATTACCTTAATTTTAGGGGGGATAACTATAGGTGTTTCATAAACCACATTTCATATTGAGCGAGCATATATTTCTTTTGTTAGTTCATGCATGAACAACGTTTGCAAGAAATTTTTTGTTTGAGTTTTTCATTTACCTAATTTATGATTTTTGTTAGTTCATTGATAAATAATGCATGCAGGAAGTTAATTTTGTGTTATGTTCATGTGTGAAGAAAGACACTATGTTCATATGTGAATATAGGTGAAAACATAAGTTCAATCTGTTTATACATGCATGTTAGTTCTGTGAACCTATCAAGTAAATGTTATCCTTCTTTATTGAGTCATCTTGTTCATTATCCCATGGCTTTGATAACCTTCCCTATTGATTTCTTGAGATATCAGGGTTTCCTATCTGTTTCCTAACCCCCACGTATTACGCGACACTACATAATTACCCTTGCTCATTTATGAATACGTTTCCTTTATTAATATCACTTAAATGACAGTAAGCCAATCTAAACAGTTGATGATAATTTGGATGGATGGAATTGGTGAGCACTAATTCTTTGGCTAACAAAAGAAGAGGACTATATATAGCCATAAGTTCATTTGAAAAGTGTTAGATATATGAGATATAGAGAAGTGATCCAAGGTCTGCCACTAAAAAATTAATGGTCAAGATCTGAGGGGCTAATTGTGCAACATTGGATAATTCGATCGCATGGTAACAACTTGTGAAAGATAAATGAGTAGTTTCATAACTGTTACAAATAAGCAACAAACAAATTATAATACGTGCATATGTGAACACATGTGATTCTCATATGAACTATATATACATATGTGAACATGTGTAATTCATATATGGACTATTTAACTAATTCATATATGAACATATAGTTCATATGTGAACCCGTGTGATTCACATATGAACTATTTAACTAATTCGTATATGAACCCGAATGATTCACATATGAAGTATTTTAAGTCATTCACGAACTATTGAATTTATTCACTGATTCATCTTAGATTCACATATAGCATTATAGTTTTAGGATCAAAATCAACATCTTGCTCAAGATCACTTTCTGGATTCAGATTTATATTGAAAGAATACGAGATTTGATCAAGAAAGAATTAAAAATTTTGATAATTTTGATAACCTAGAATTGAGAGAAAAATCGATGATATAATTGCCATAAAATCGGATTTGATTTGTTAGAATCGTTAATGGGTTCAAGATCATGTATCATAGACCAGACTTCCATTGTTGTCATCGACGATGACGGTGTATTAATCATATATCACTGTCGTTTTTTGCTAGTTACCATATTACCCTTCCTTTAATAAAATTTGATCATTGATCCAATGCCTAGGATCAGTTTCTCTATTTCTCATACATTTAACACTTCTCATTTGAAGCGAAGGATCGTGTGAGAATGAGAATTAAGATGAGAAATGTTAGGAGGGATTTGGACTCTTGATAACCTTTAATCTCAAATTCACCCATGAATCGCATTTGATACGAGGATTGATCAGGTGCATCAGAGGTGCATTTCATCCTAACGTGCATTTTAGGGTAAAGATCTCTTCTTACAATTTAACTATCCTTCTCATCGGAACCCAACCTTCTCATTTGAACCCCTCTCTCTCTCTCTCTATATATATATATATATATATATATATATTAGGATCATGTGAGACAAGATTATTTTCGTGAGACACGATATTTAAACATGAAACTTCACAGCAAAACACTGTGAAGGTAACCCCTTCACAGTGTTTTTTGCTATGAAGATTTGATTTTTTTTTCACCTTCACAACATTTTGTTTTGAAGTTTCAAGTGTAAAAATCGTGTCTCACGTATCTCACGAAAACAGTCTTGTCTCATGTGAACCCAACCCTATATATATAGGGGCACATTCAAATGAAAACTGTGCATTTCTAAGAAACCGTATAAACTAATTTCGATCAATAGGAAAATTTCATTTTTTTTCTAATTAAATTTAATCAATAAGGGTATTTCGGTCATTTAYAATATTTTCAATTAAATATGAAAATTATTAATAAATCTTAATTAAGGAAACGTAATAAAGAAAATTTTATAAATGGTAACATTTAAATATTTAATTATATTATAATTTTAAAATTTTGAATTAAATATATTGTGATGCGATTGAATCTGCTGGTGAATCTTGAAGATTGTAAGACATAATGTAATGAATTCATCAAATCATGATTAAAAAAAAATTAATACAAATGAAACAGGTTTCATGAAAGTGAAACTGGTTCATGTCATAATTGAACAACGAGTAGTGAACATTTTCATGGTGAACATGTTTCATTGACGGTGTAGTTGATCTATTTAGTAGGTGAAGTGGAAAATGAAACGGGTGCATAATGTATTTGGTTTGTCATGAAATAATTGCATGATGAAACCGGTACATGATGAATCTGTTATAGAATCTTGAAGATTGTAATCTGCTTCAGAATCTTGAAGATTGTAAGGGTTAAAGAAATGAATTCATCAAATGACGGGTGAAATATAAAAATTAATGTACATGAAATAGGTTTCATGAAGGTGAAACTGGTTCATGGCGTAATTGAACCAAGAGTAGTGAAATGGGTGCATCAATGTATTTGGTTTGTCATGAAATAATTGCATGATGAAACGGGTACATGATGAATCTGCTCCATAATCTTAAAGATTGTAATATGCTACAGAATCTTTAACATTGTAAGGATTAAAGGAATGAATTCATCAAATCAGGAGCGAAATAAACTAATCTATGTACATGAAACAAGTTTCATGAAGGTGAAACTAGTTCAAGACGTAATTGAACAATGAGTAGTGAACTGGTTTGATAGTGAACCCCGTTTCAATGATGGTGTAGTTGATCCATTTAGTAGGTGAAATGCAAAATGTAACGGGTGCATAATGTATGCGGTCATGAAATAATTACATGCTGAAATGGATTCATAATGAAACCGGTGCGTCTTGAAATAATTTCGTAATGAATAGGGTGCATATTTACATGGGTATGTGAAGGACATTGAAACAATTTCAGGATAAAAAATAAAAAGGCTGCGAAATTATTTCCTAACAAATAGAAAATTTCAATTTCTTAAAATAAAGAATAATGTTCTTCAATAGGATGTTACATAATATGTATTTTTGTTTACCATTTTGCCCTTATTGCTGATATAAAAATAAATTTTTAATATATATATTTTTTAATTTYCTAAAATAAAGTAAACTAATCTTGGCCATTGATCAAGAAAATGGATGGATGAGATTGGTTTACACGGTTTACAAAAATGGAGGCAGTTTTCATTTGAACGCTCTTCTCTCTCTATATATAAATATATATTGGTTTAATCATTTGAGAACCCTATATATTATGATAATCGTGGGAATTTTCATCTTAACATATTGTTTCACGTGATTTTTTCTTATCTAAGCCTAATATTTAATGTATTGATGAACATATATTTGTGACACAATGTGTTTGCTTCCTAATGTGAAACTTTTATTTCACAAACATGCAAAAAATGGTTCATATTGTGAAACAAGTACACGTGAAAAAAACACATTGTGCAAATATGTTAATCGATATTCCAAATACTAGTTTTCAATGACGAAAAAAATCATATGAAACAATATGATGCATTAGTTCTCAAAGTTATCACAATTTCATGAGTTCTCAAAAGCAGGTCCCCATAATACACACACGGTGGCTAGTTTAGATAAGAATTTTAACATCATGAAAATGTAAGAAGGAAAGGTAAAAGGAAATGATCATATACATGAATCTTAGAAAAATCCCTGAAAAAGTTTATTTGAAAATCCATATGTAAACCAACGTTACAGATTATTCATATAGGTTCATTTATGCATCTTCAAATGGATTTTTTCAATGATTCACATATAACCCTTCTTTCTTACCTTCTCACAATATTTAACATTCTTATTTGAACCTCCAACTTTACACACGTGTTTTGGATTTACAAAATGGTGATAAATAATGAATTTTCATTTCAACTTCATGTAACAACCGTAATGTTGCCACTTGAATATGTGAATTACATGTGAACTATAAGCAGTCATATGGAAAAGGAAGAACAATAAATATACTAATAATAGAGAAGACACCGAGACGAGCTCGAACTACACGAAAGAACTATACACGAATACCTCAAGGGTTGAGATGACCCAGGGCTACAAAATGAACCACCGGATGCCACCACTTTTCAACAGAAAGCCAAATCAAACAAACACACAGTGTATCCCATCTGGAGGTAGGGTTTGGTAAGATTTACGAAGATTTGACCACTGTGGTGTGACAGTTACTTACCCGGCTGTATGATCGTGTATGCTTCAAGTGGGAAAACGGGTTCCTTTTTTAAGCTTCTTCGGATACTGGGTTCTGGACAGGGCACCTAGACGCATACTTGCAATGGTTGCATTTCCAACGCTCATCCTGGGGAGTGTAACTAGCTTCTCGGTCACCCTTCCAGAATTCAAGACTAGATCTGATTTGATCCGTGACCCAATTAGATTTGTATAAAAATTGGTTCTCGCTTATCAAAGATTGGTCTTTTTGGTACTCGTACCTGACTCAAAATAACACAAGAACATTTAATCAATATTTGTCGGAACATCATGCATTTGAACGCTCCAAAATTTGTCAAGAACCGACTGATCCAGGAGAACACGTCAAAATTTGTCGGAACATCATGCATTCGAAAGGCTATTCTCCTAAATAACGCATAAAAAAGGGTCCATTGGTTGAATGACTTCCTCCCAATTTTCTTTTAAGTCCATAACCTTCTGACAAGTTTTAAAATAGTCTCATTCTTTCTTCTGTTAGGTAAGAGTCGTTTTAAAATTCATGGCGTATTCATAAAAAATATAGTCAGAAGGTCATTCTCCTAAAAAAAAACCCAGTTTCATAGGACTGAAGAAAGATGAACTTGGTAGACATAAAATATGTTTAAAGATCAAAGACGTTGTAGAGCCACTCGCACCTTAACAGAAGCTGGTCTCGAGTTTTGGGCAGCATGGAACAGACGTATTCATATCGCCTTAATACGTCATTGAGTGTCTGCAAGCACATAAACATTCAATTTGGGAGAATACTGATAACTGAAGCACATTCAATCATTAGGGGGGAGAAGATGGCAAACTGCATCAAAATGCAACAAAGTTTGATTTAGTGTAACGGATTTGTTTTGGCAATGGACGTAAGAAAGTTCAAAACATTCCTATTTTGGCCGGTAACATGCTGATGTTGTAACATTTGATGACGTGATACCTATTTACGAAAGATTTACCGCGAAGTGGACGATAAATATCAGCAGGTTACTGGTCAAACTCGTAAAAATAATAAATTTTGAAACTTAGTTGCACTAAATAAGAACTGAACCACATTTTGTTGCATTTTGATGCATTTTGTCCAAAATAGAAATAAATTACCTGTGGTGCAGGTAGACCTGCTTGAACAGCGGTCTCTTGGATTTGTTTGGATAATTTGTAATCAGGGTTTAAAGAAAATGATTCTAGAAACTGCTGAGAAGGAAATGGATTAGCAAGTAGGTTGTCCCAAAGGTACTTGTAGCACATCAACTGAAGCCTTCCATTTCGCTGTTGGGGTTCGGAAGGGAGACTGTTTTGTGAACGGGTTTTGGTTTCAACTAATGTTGGAGCACATCTAGACATACAGATTTCATCAATAACTCCAACCACGCATACACCTTCTGCAAACCCTATCCTGTTGATGAAACCATCATTTCATTTGATCAATACCAACCCATAAAATCCCAACTGGGGGTGGGAGATGTATGCAAACATGACCTCTACCTCAAAAGAGTAGATCTGCTGTTTCTGTAGAGTGGGTACATTGAAAACATATGAAAAGGCATGGCCAAAAGCACATCTCTTTCGTATGTTGCCCCTCTTCCCCTTTCAACCAGTCTAACCCCATAGTACGGCATACCTAGTCTGTTACCCTAGTCCTCCGTCTCCAAGTATTCCTATTAATTACATTATGAAAACCACTCGAAGTAGAGTGACAGACCGAGAGGCTGGACTAGAAGAAATAGGCGAAGAGATTATGTTATATAAAGTACCCAATTACCCTCTTACGTTAGAACTGAGTAATTTTAACATATTCTTTTAGATCATTTTACACTGTAATCAAGCTTATAAGTAAGCTTCTACTTTATCAGCTAATTTGCCAAACATAGCCTCTATAGTGAAAAAGCATTCATGGGTGAATGATTGATCAAGTGCCAAATAACAAAAAATGCAGAGAACCAAGTATGCAATATAGTGAAAAAAAAATTACATAAAATTAAAGCAAGGAAAATAAAAACTTACAGTGGTAACTCGCGTGTTAATCCGTCCATCAATAATTGATTGGTACCATGTATAAAATTAATCATTTTCAAAGCCCAATGTTCTTCAGCTGATCTTATGACAACTTCTACTCTTGTTATAACCTGTTGACATATCACACGATGATAAAAAGCGAAAAAGAAATATCAAATTTCCAGAGAATCAAAACTTGTAGGCTTTATGAGTGTTAGTTTGTCAAACCAGCTGTTGACCTATAAGTTATATGATAAACTAGTCTGAGAGGAAGGTACCTCTTCTTCAAGTACTGCATGACGGGCACTGCCGGCTTTCATAGCTTTAGTTGCTTTTGGCTTTCCGCAAACAAGGAAAAACTCCTTTTGCTTTTCACACCATTCCTAACATGAAAAAAAGAGACAAACCAGGCACACTTTAGCTTTACAATCATTCAAATAATGTTACGAGAATGATTCTGTTAAGTGAATCTCATATGTAAATTTCGTCATTTTTAAGACATTTTTGTTGCTTTAATCTGTAGGGATTTTAATATTCTATATGGTATGCACTTTTCTATTTTGTTTTATTTTAGTCGATCATGGTCTTCGTACATGTCTAACAGAGACTTCAAAAAGATTGAAACGACCCTGTTCACATCCAATCGAAATGGCACTTCGACTCAAGTATTAGTGCTTCATAGCTGAATATTCTATTAAGCATTCTGGACATAAACTATTCTTGAATTAGACATCATTTAACAATCCACATCAAATCATTGTTGGTATACCTCTTCCCTTCAAATTATTTCTTTCACTAGTAATTCTTGTTTTTATCATTTACCCAAACTCGGGGGATACAACTACTGAACTACCTTCAATGGTCTTAGTGCGTCCGCATGTATGTCTTAGGTCGAGGAAAAGATGACTACGTGGACACTCACAAACACTAACGAGAAAAATTGTATGTAGACTATCACTTAGTTACCACAGGGAAAAACGACCGTTGGTTGCAAATGATTCTCACCGTCAAGTATGACTCAGATGAGAGTATCAACAAATACAAGATTCGGTTGGTAGCCAAGGGGTTGACTCAGGCATACGGTGTTGAGTATTTGGAGACCTTTGCTCCTGCCACTAAAAGTTATACCATAATAGATTTGTCATCATTACTTGTTAACTGCGATTATACCAGTTGGAAGTAAAAAATGCATTTTTAAATCTCAAAAGACTTCTTGCATCAAAGTTCAAAATCAAAGATCTAGGACTCCTTAAATACTTTCTTGGAATGAAGGTAGCCCAACCCAAAGATAAATTGTTGTATCTCAGCAGAAGTACTAGATCTCCTAAAAGAAACTACCTTGATTGGGAGCAAGCTTGCATGCATATAGAAAATGGATCAAAACTTGAAAACAAATTGAAACAGGTTTGGAGAGAGGGGGAGCAATCAAAGATTAGTGGGTAAACTAATCTATCTCCCTCATACTAGACCTGATATAGTCTTTTCTGTTAACGTTTTAAATCAATATACGACTAGTCCATGTGACAAGCAATTGGAAGAAGTTTATAGTATTTCTAAGGTATTTGAAAACGACATCTGCTCTAGATTTGCAGTTCATATAACAAATCAAACGAGACATAGAAGTCTACACATATTTTAATTAGGCGAGAGAGTTATCAAACACATGATCAATAAGTGGTTACCGGACATGTATGGAGTAATTTGGCACAACAAAAAGCAATATGTGGTCACAAGGAGTACTGCAAAAATCCAATTATACAAATATTGTGCCCTTCCCTTGGGTATATGTAAAGGATCTGGGCAGTCAATAGAGGTGCAATTGCCGATCCCCTTCGTCGTCCCAAAAACAGGGAATGCCTTCCCAACTGCACCTTGAGATTCTCCACGTCCTACATCATCACTCCAATCATTCCCTATGCCTTTTTCCTCCTTGGAGCTTACCATTTATAGACTAGCCAAAGTAGTGATCATTGCTTTTGTCCCATATGACAACCATTGACCCTCATCGTGCATCCACAAGATCCATCCCTGTCACCACCACAATGAGAGACACTAGGTTCAAATCCTAAAAAATGGGGCAACCTTGTCACTTGAATTCTCAACCACACTATGGCCACCTCCCATTGTTGTCGCCTCCACCGTGTCATAGGTTGTTACAGACCCTAGTTCACATTCTTCCGTTGCTAGACATTGGTCCAAGGCTTGCTATCGAGTCTCGATCCCTTTGTCGCCCTTCATCAGGACTTCTTTTCCTGTCTCTTTTTTAGTTGCTTTCACCTTTTCCTAGTCCTCCTTTTCTTTTCCTTTGCCATTACCTCCAGGAGTCCAATGTGATCGTGCCTTGTCTCCAACAGTGGGCGGCAAAACTTCTATCGCCCTTGATTACCAATCCTTTTCCTTTTGGCCATTGCTCTCTCCCCTTCACATGCCTTTATTATCCAAATTGATGTGGCAGTAACCATCGGTTGTTGGGTCATTTCTTTGGCTAAGCTATGAGCTTCTAACAAGTTACGCATCAGTTCCTCCACCTTTGAAACTAATACTTCAACTTCATCCCAAAAATTGGTTCACCATCAAGGGTCGAAATTCCCTATCTCTATTAAATTTTCCATTGAATTTCTCAACCTTCTAAGTCATAATTGGTTCCAGAAGTTCACAAACCAACTTGATAGAACCCAACATGATATTACTAGATAAAATAGAATACCAATAGAAGATTACCTACTTTTGAGAGGTCTACTTTCTCCAACAATGCGTAACTTAATTTAAACTTTCCTATGATCAAAATTAAGCATGTTCACAATTGACAACTCCTTTCCCTTGTATAGAACTAAATACTTATAATATTTAAATCGCAATAAGCCATAAAACCATACTGCTAAACAACATTGACTCCACATACTTTGAAACAAAAATACCATTAGACCATGAAAAAATATCCCTATTACATGTACATTTGGATGTCATAGTCAACGATCTCTTGATGAACCGTTGCATTTGTAGTTGTAAAACCATGATGGCTCCTAGTCAAAGGATAATTACTTTTATGGGTTACTTCTTTGGCCTCCATTTTGTAACTAAATACAAATTAAGTATTCGTCTGCATGGTTTGGAGGTTATAGGATAAGGGTCTGATTTCATAAAACAACCGGCGTGGTGAATTAACCATGAACCAGACTACACCTACATAAGATATGCTAAGGAACTTTTTATTTTATACTAGCAAGAAATCATCAGACTGGAAGTTTCATGCTAAATGCTTCTAGATGTTACTAGTCATTAACATTAATCCAATCTACTTAATTTCATTATTAACTTGTGTCATTTTTCATATCCGATGACTCAAAGATTAAAAACTAGAATCCTTAACCTCCTCATCTTCCTCTAAAAGCATCAAAATCAGAATCATTTTGTATTATGAAAATGACGCATTTGACCACAATTGTAAAAAAGCACCTTTTCACAAATGCCAATTACACAAACTGCACGTTTGATACAAATGCAGAGATAATACATCATAAAAGCACCCTCAGCACTCTCGCCCAATCCCGTGAAATTTACAGTAATTTCCATTTTGGAGATGTTTCATGAACATTACCTCTTCAAATATTTCAGAATAATTTTGGAAGTTTCATGCTAAATGCTTCTAGATGTTTCATGAGCATTACCATTCTACACTTTGCCAAAGTTTCAAGGTGAAAGCTTCCTATTTTTGTATCTATGTCAGACGGAGTACTACATTGCATAGTTAAAACCTGAATAAGAGCTCTAAAGGATTTGATTGTAAACCAAAGCGAAAACAACTAAACCGCCAAATAAAATCACCTCTTTAAGTGAAACCTAACCAAATATCAAGTTATCAACAGCCTAAACGTACTTCAAACTCCAAACACGCATACGTATTCGCCTACATATAAAATAACAATGTTCAGCCCTATGCCAGTAAGTTAATCGGCAAAAACCCAAGTCCAGTATCTGGCAATGGAAATAACAAATATCTCAAAACTTGCTTCAAAGACACAAAATCGAGTCATGTAACACCACACAACATCCTGCCTAGGCCCGTCATAGGTCATTGTCGTTCAGCAATTTTAAGCTATAAGAAAAGAAAGTTAAAACCTAATCGGCAAAAAGGTTGATGAAAAGAACCCATTACCGTAGAGGTGATATCCGTAACGAACAACCCTGTTTTCCTCCTGAACCGATACAACAAGGATTCACCAACCCTTTTCTTCTGTGCGCTCCGAATTCCAATTCCATCCTCGATATCACCTACGCAGTAAGACGAAGAGTAATTCGAGAAACTCCGTTTAGAATGCAGAGTAATGGACGAAGAATTACGATGGAAGTGAACAGAAGTAGAGGAAGAGCTCAAAGAGGGGCGGGCTTTGAAAGCCAAAGAGAAGGCGGATTCGATGAGTGACATTTCTTCGTCGCTGACGATCTCTGTTGGTATCTGAGATGGAGGAGATGATGAGAGCGAGGTCGTTTGGGCAATTTCGATGAGAGTGGGTGGAGTCGGTGATTGAATCATTTCGTGGGGAGGTTCAAATTCTACTTCCATGGCCATTTTCGTTGTTTGAGGGGAAAATGACCGTTGGAGGCTTGGAGCTCGCGATCAATGCGGCAGTGAGAAACAAGTTTTACAACATCTCTTTTGATAACTTTGAGTAAATTACAAAAATAGTCCTTTGACTATCTCTTTTGATTACTTTGGTTTTTGTTTGTTAACATTCAAATCAAATACTTTTTGGTTTGCATTTTGTTACAGAGCTCGTCCCTAGCACTAACGGGGGTTAAGTTATTTTGTAGATGGCCTCATGTGAGGGCATCAGTTGAACCTTTAGTGCCGACGTTTAATAAAGGTTTTGTTAGATCGCATACACGACATGAAGTTGGACCAAGCAACATGATGTTGGGACCAAGTAGCACGATGATTAGAACCAATCAACATAATTGACCTGCCGACGAGTGCCCATAGCATATGACAATTGCAAATCATGATCTTTCTGGCACTATAGATTCATAACTGACAATCATAGAAGTATGATTAAACAACCCAGTTAATTGCCTTTAAAACAAGATCGTAACCAATGCTAAATATACGTTGGGCATTTAAGAAGACTGAGCAATCAATGCTTGGACATTAGATATGCCAAGTATAAAAGAGGAGCTACAAGAAAGGCCAAAGCATTAGGGACATGGTTTACACAACCTAATTTAAAAGGACATCATTCTAATCTAGTCGTTGGCATCCAAAGCCAAAAGATGTTGATTCAGGAATTTTTGACATAAACAGTTTGGCGCTACTCGTAGGACCATAGCTAGATTCTCTTTCTTGATAACTGAACTCCAAGTTCAAAAGCCTTGACCAGAGACACTACCAACATCTGAATCATCCATCGAAGTGACCCTTAAGAAATGGCCCCTTTATTGTTATGGCTTCAAGTCGAGATGAAGAAACCGGTCTTGAAAACAAATAACTCGTGGAACAAAATCACAATTTGCTCCAAGATTCCATTGCCACATGAACAAATGGAAAATATATGAAGGCAATGCAGTCGACACAACAAGTTATGCCATATACCTCTACAACATGAAGGCAATGCAGTCGACACAAACAAGTTATGCCAAATTTAGGTGATGTGCAAAATCAAAATATCTCATATTAAACACTTCTCAACAAATATATGGTCATCAAAGGGCAGGAATCAGTGATGAAGATTACGTTAACGATGAGTTAAACGAACATTTGTGAAGACTCACATAAAGCCATCTGGAGGACGCGGTCATTGGGGATGACCAACATGAACCAAAACATCAAACAAATCCTCAAGACGTTACTCAACCCAAAGATAGCCAACCTCGAACACCGGGGGAAGTTAACCCAACAACACCAAATGAAGTCAACCTAACCACGTTTGTGTTTGATGATTGTAGGTGCTAGAACACTAGAATAGCGAATTCGTGGAATTGATCAAAACAAGTTGTATGGATCCCAGACACCTGTGGACATAAGGATCGACCACAAGGATTTCAAAATTCATCGTTTACGATAAATATCACTAATATAGAGATCCCAAAATGATATAATATTCACAATGATGATGAAGTATGATGGTACTAATGACCCTTATGAACATGTCGCCATTGTTTTCGTTACTTGAGATCATCATTAAGCATGCATATGCAAGATTTTCTGATCGATGCTAATGGGACCTGCTCTTTGATGGTTGATTAATAGTTTGTACAATATTATGACCTATTTTGGATTTAGCCAGTATATTTTATCAACAATTTACGAGTAGTTGGAAAATGGAGAAACAAACCAGTGGCATATATCGTGTCATTGAGCGTGGGTTACCAAAAGACTCAAACTTATACAAAGAATTAATTAGACATCTGACCGGTAGCTTTTTAAATTTCAGGTCATGAGCCATTATGAAAATGAGGTTAGAGGGATCATGTCGCTGCAAGGAAAAGATGTTTAGCTACCATGACGATAAAAAAGTAGAACCATAGGCCTAACTCGAAAAAGTACTTGACGTTTCCAAATGTTCAAATATATGATGCTCCCATGTGCAGGCACAAAGGCTCAAGCATGAGTCAACTACATTTATTCAAATCATTGACATTGAGTATGGTCGTCAACACATTACATATGGTCAAGGTAACGATACAATGGCCATGAAAGCCTAAATTTCCTGATGACCAAACAATTTATCCTAACGATGTGACTTTCATAAAGATTACATGGATCTTGAAGTAAGGATACCTAAAAGATATCCTTGTAGATGGATAAGATTCCTAACAACCGAAGGGGACAATGTTTAACCCCTTCTAAGTCCTCAATGCATGTTCTGGTAGTTAAAAGATCTACAATCTTAGTGGTGAATTCACAGACCTGAACAAGACATGCCCCAAGGACCAACTCTCATTACCGTTCATCGGCGCAATGGTCAATGTAACCACATGTCATGAGCTTTTAACGTTATGGACGCTTACTCGAGTTATAGTAATGCATCCTTGCGACCAAGAAAATATTGCATTCATGACTGACAAAGGTATTTATTGTTAAAAGGTAATGCCATTTAGTTTGAAAAATGTGGGAGCAACGTATAAACAAATCATCAACATGATGTTTGAAGACCAACTAGGGGAGACCATGGAAGTATACATATATAGACAAGATGTTGATAAAGTCAAGGAAGGCGGACAACCACGTCATTGATAATATAACATAATTTCCTCACTTTTCTTTTGTGTTTTTACATCCTCAAATGAATTATTGACTCTTTTTTTTGTTACTTTTTTATATCATTCCATGTTTATGGAGTATTGAAGTGGAAACAATCAAGTTTTAGTGACTTTTGAGGTGAAAATCAGATATGTCAAAATGAAGAGCTATAGAGTGCTTCAACATGCACCAACTCATGGTTTTTGAAGACGCCATGGAATATGCTACACCTGGAATTGGATATTGGTTGGATGATTGCTGGAAATCTTGGGAGATCGCTTTAGATTTGCTAATTTGTTTTCTTGTGCCTATAAAAGGCTTTTAATGGTTAATGATTAGAGCTTCTCTCAATATCTGAAGTTTAGGAAAACTTGGAACACAATTTATAATATTCTCCAACAATATCAGTTCTCATGTATGTATGTATGTATATATGTATATATATATATATATACACACACACACTACTTTATAATGTATCTAAGCAAAAAAAAAAAACTCTCAAATACAACTATTAAGGCCTTGTGTACTCCCTTCTTAAGCATATAATTGAAAAATCTCTTAATTAGAAACTATAATGCATAAGGTACAAATGTTTAAAACATACCCTTTGTATAGTGAAAATGTCAGGTTTATTTTACCATATTTACATGAAAAAGATAATTTGTGTCTTCCCAAAACAATTACAAACCCTAATTGTTTCCTCTTTTGAACTCAAATTCAAATTCAATGTGTCTTTCCTCTCTTGAACCCATATCCAAATTCAAATTCAAAGCACAATAGGCTTTCAGATTCTAGCTCATTCCTAAGACCATCTTTACTCACAATCCTTTATAACCCAATCTCGATTAAAATATTACTTTATCTCCCATTCACCTATACAATCTTCAACTTCAATTCAATCTTACTTCTTTTATCATTTAACTACAATTCTCTCCAATCCAATCTAATCTAAAATATTATTTTGTAACAGTCATATATTTAACTATATATATATATATATATATATAATTATTAACTTTTAGTTTTAGGTAGAAGAATAGAATAAACGGACCATTACATATTTTAAAACGTAATTATAATTATAAAAAAACTTACCATACAATTGAAATTAAATAAAACAAGTCATAAAAATAAGTACGAAATTACATATCTGAAATATATAAATAAGCGTAGTTAATTATCATGACCGAATTTTTGCCATATATGCTCAATCAAATCATTTTTTTATAGCATTATGAGCTTCCCTATTGCGAAGTTGTTCTTTGTTAGCCATATAACGAGATAGGTTTAAAATCCATTCAGTAGAGAATTTAGTTGATTGACCATCATCTTCTGTAGAAATTCCTCGTGGTTGATTTGTGGGCATGTCGTTAAGAAACTCAGTAGGATCATAATAATTTTGGCATGTATCTCGTTTGTCTTCAACTATCATATTATGCATGATGATACAAGCTATCATAATTCGTCCCATTATATGTTTGTTTCAAACAAGACATGGTTGTCGAATAAATGCAAAATGATCTTGTAAAACTCCAAATGCTCGCTCAACATCTTTTCTGCATGCCTCTTGAACTTGAGCAAACAACTTGTGCTTCTGCATTTAAGGAGATGTAAATGGCTTGACAAATGCAGCCCATGAAGGATATATGCCATCAGTGAGATAATATGTCCTATCATTTTCGTGACCATTCACGACATAACTAACTTTTGGTGATCGACTTGCCAATACATCATCAAAAACAGGAGATTGTTGGAGTACATTAATATCATTAAGTGAACCTGGGGTTCCAAAGAAAACATGTCATATCCATAAGTCATATGATGCAACGACTTCCAAAATTATTGTTAGCTTTCCACTGCTTCCGGCATATTGTCCAACCCATGCACTTGTATAATTTTTCCATTCCCAATGCATGCAGTTAATACTACCTATCATACCCGGAAATCCACATTGATCTCCAGCGTAGAGTAGTCTTGCCAAGTCAATTTCTTTAGGCTTTCTAAGGTACATGTCAACAAAACATGAGATGGTACCATCTACGAAGTGCATGAGATATCCCTTTTGTGGATCCACTTATTCTCAAATATTCGTCAACTGAATCAACTGATGCCCATATGCCAACACCCTCATGGCCGCATTATATTTTTGCAATGGTGAAAGACTTTGTCTACTCATGGCATCAACTCTTTGTGGAAAATATTAGTCATTAGCAGTAACATCATCCTATATACGACATAATAAAGGTCTTCGCATTCAAAATCTTCTTTAGAAGATAAACTGGTCATACGTTGGATTATCGATAAA